AATTAAAAAAGAGAGAAAAGATTACTCTTTGTTTTATGTGTGATTTTATAAATTACAATTATACTGATCGTTGCTCACCTTTTTGTAATGAAATGCACTTCTAATATGTACAAAAATCTTTTGTGATAAAATATAACACACTTTGATCGGTGCTAAATACTCATTTCTCCCCCTTGAATTTTTGGAACCATTTCTACTAATCAACCTACCAACTAGTGTTTCCAATATCACAATCTTGAAGGTTTATGTATTCAGCTGCAAGACTGATTGTCTTAAAAATGATGTGATTATGAGACAAAAATTAAAACTTCATAAAACCGCATAATAATGTGGCACTTGTAATGTTCAATTAGTTTCATAAGGAAAGTTTGGAAAAACTTGAATCTTGGTACATGTATGGTTGAACTTAAAATGGTTGATCGAATTGTTGTGTAGTTATAAGCTTGCTGTATAGTAACGAGATTCGGCAAATTGTGTCTACATAGGAATACTGGTTTCTAAAATATTATATTTACAATGTAAGAAACAAGGGAAGTTGGGGGCATTTTGCTCTTTTCCATTAGCAGACATAATGATGAAGGCGACTTTCCTTTATTATTTTTTATTTTTATGCATTTGTCTCTTCTACTCTCCTAAGCTTCCTTCCCCTTTCCCTTCTTTTCTGTTTTTCTTCTTTTCCCTTCTCCTTTTCTTTATTCTCCGAAATTTCCTCTCATTTTCCTCCTTCCTTTTATACTTTTTCCATTTCCTTTTCTCCTTTTCTCCCTTGGAGTAGGATTCTCTCCCTCTTTTTTTTTTTTTTTTTTTTCCCTCCCCTCCTATTTAAAAGATCACAGTTAAACCACTTCAATATCTTATATTAATTTTTTATAAAAAAAAAATAACAAAATAAAAAATGTGAGAGAAGGGAATGGAAGGAGAAGGAGAGAGAATCCTAGTCCTTCTCCCCTTCTCCCTTCCCTCTACCCTCCAGAGTTTCCTTCTCATTTTCCCCTCTCCTTTGAAGTCATTATATTTGGGTTGAGATGTGAACCTTTTATTGATGGACGGACAGCCAAGTCAATGTTGGAAATTTATATTATTATATTTATTTGATATTATAGTATTTAACTAGAAATTTATGCCCTCACACTGCAGGATTAAAAATTGTATAAAACATTATGTTTGAATGATATAAAAGATTGGATTGCAAAACGTTAATGCTATATACAAAAGATTGTATGCCCTCCCACTTCCGGTGCCCTCTCATGTCCTCTTGTTTGTGTGGTAACGGTTAAACCACGTCAATATTTTATATTCCTATTCATTTTTGTCTCATTATCTCTATAAAAAAAAACAATATAAAATATTGACGTGACTTAACCGTGACCACACAAAACAGGAGGGCACCGGAAGTGGGAGGGCAAACAATCCTTGTCCAAGGTATATACCAATCTACTTGACAACGTTAATTAGAATGTTATACAGAAGATGTTACTGCTTCCTCTTACACGCATGTTGAGTGCAAAACGGCATAACAATGATGATAAAAACATTTTTAGCTCTCCCATGGACCAGAACTGAGAGGTCCAAGACTTGAAAACCCCCATTCAAAGAGACAATGTAGTCTAATTTCTTTTCAATCACAATCCCAACAAAGATAAAACAACGGTTAAAGAACAGGCTCAGAAATACGACAAAATTCAATTACATTAATCTAAGGATTGAATTGCAAACTGCAGCATTGCCATGTAATGGGTAGAAAAATTTGTACCTAGTTCATCCTTCAATTGCGATAAGCTCCACACCAACCCTTTTGAACAACGGTTTCACCACAGTTGAGTACCTTCAAACCCAATTTTCAAAACAAATAATTCTATTTATGAAAAATTTGAACTCATTTATGCCACACAAAAATATAAATTTCACCAAAAACAACCTGCAAAGCTTTATACTTGATCATATTTCACCAAAAACTTCTCCAAAAATATAAATTTTCCCCCAAGACAAACAGAAACCAAAAACATTCTATGAAAGTAAAGTAAGCCATCTAGATGTGTGCACTTACATAAGCATCCATCGTTTATTAAATTAAACGCAAATAACATATATGAATTTCACTAAAAGATATAAACTGAACAATTCCACCAAACTTCAACCCAAACTGGAATAGTTTCTATTTAGTTTAGTTTATTCAAACTTACTCTGTACTCAAGACTATTAAGCAATTGAGGTGTACATCAACACCAAAATAGAAACTGTACCAAGGTCTACCCAGTTGTACATGTATGCATAATTCAAGTTCAAACTCTCATGTGGAAAAAAATAGCAAAGAATTGTAATATGAAAATTCAACTAAGTTTTGCAAAGCATACCAAACCAATCCCAAGTACCTTGAAACACAACGTTGCTGATATCATGAAATGAAGATGGCATCACTTTGAAACCCTTATCCACACCATAGAGGGGAATGGACTCCATAGAAGAACTTGCGAGCTGCCATTAATACCATATTTATTAGCATATTTCAATCTTTTTACCCATAACAACATTTACTAAGAAGATTGAATAAAGCTCAATGAGAATATGAAGAAGCAAAAATACTCTGCGTATGTTTTATAACACAAAAAGATTGCCTTTTTCATTAGGAAGTTTAACTCTATAGTTCAAACATTGTCTCACATATTGAATTGAATAATTGCTACTCACCACTCCTATCATACCTTCATAGCTGAAATACAATTGAGGAGGCTGACTTTCTATGAAATTCTTTTGTATACGACAATTACCCAATTACTGCCCTCATATGTATTTAAGGTCAACAATTCGACAAAGTGACTCAGGACTAATAATATAGCATTTTTTAAATGTACTAAAGTTGTAAGAATGTAAGTCTGTAGTGATATATAACAATGGAATTAGCCAACATGCATATTGTTAGAATTAAGAGCACCCAAGAGTACGTCCCATGACATACCATGACTGGATAACCTGCACAAATATTAGCTCCTTTACTATTCCAGTTCCCACCTATAACCATGAAGTTAATGATCATATTCATATGTAACTTGGAACCCTCCTTTTTTTAATTTTATTTTTCTCTTTTAACTACCCCAAATTTTCCTAAAGATAGAAAGAAAACAGAAACCAATTTGCCTTTTGGTGGAGAATTCCTAGTAGGCAAAAGGTTGAGTCAAATCAAATAAAATATAAGAAACATTTAGGTTGCATCCATTATATAATTGAAACATAAACCATAAGACAAAAGGAAAATACCCCTTTTTTCTTCTTCTTTTTCTTCTTTTTTTCTAAAAATCCATCAGCATGAGCTACTATTGTCAACCTTTAACGCCATAAGATTCATTCTGTTCAACATCCCCCCACGGTTTAGAGAAATTTAATGAAGTTGTATTAAAAAGGAGTTCTGAAATGTATACAATCTTTCACTCTTTTTTCGTTGTTCACTAATGGTAGCGAATTTGTTGATAAGCTACAGTATATTTTAACCTGCCATTCAAGTTCTTTGGAACATGATATGATAACTAACACATTAAGGGCTTAAGTCATTTGTTGAAACAAAACATTATTCAATATGTTTTTGAAAAAAAAAAGAAAAAAGACACTCACACATTGACATACTAAAAAACAACACTAAAGAAAATATATCTCACAGAATTAAATAGCATGAAATATTGGTAAAGTTAAATCAGACCTGACCAGAAAAAATATATATATCATACCTGATCCATCCCCGGCCAAAAACCTGTTGGATTTGTGACCAAGTGGACAACAAGCCAAAATACCTTTCGGCTAATAAAATAGAATAAGGAAAAGGGGGACATCATTATGATGTCTAGCCCTTGATTTGTGGCTTTTACAAAGGCAAAGAATATGTGGCCTTGTGTGATGAGTGCAGCCGAAAGAGAGAAAAGGAGAGAGAGAAGGCGGGGCCTTTTGTTTATATTAAGGCATTTGGTTATGCCTTTGGTTGTGGGGGAGCGGCAGATGAGAGAAACCAGGGAGAGCATTCGGCTCTCCCATTTGAATATGAGCTGCTCCTTCCCACCATTTGTAATAATCCCATTTTGTTAGTAATCACTCAATCAAAGATGTTGGTGCTACTTGTGTAGCTTTTGGGAGAGAAGGATTTTGATATGTGTTCTTCTTCTCCATTTGTTTCTTAGTTTGAGTGAGAGCTATTGGTTGTATGTGGGATTTGGGTTTGAGAGTTAAAACTCTATTTGTAATCTCCTTTTGATATTAGTGGAATTTCCTCGCCGTCTTGGAACTGGATGTAGGCTTACGCCGAACCAGTATAAATCCTTGTGTCTTTTGGATTATTTGTCTTGTCATATTTTGCCGTTGTAGCTTATTGGTTTCATATTTGACGCTTCCGCACAACAAAACCTTCACATCCTCATCATGAAACACAAATAAGTCAGATAAGTTTAATTGCAATTATCTTCTAAACTCATATTACGAAATAGATAATGAACATCTCTATTCATGTTTGGTTGATTAAAACCCATACCTTTACCCTAAATCTTCATCGAGAAAACAAAGTAACTGAAATTCTCTTTGTAACTTGCAAATCACAATTCTAACAAAATTAATGGAACCATAAAATGAAATTACAATTTAATAATTACCAGACTTATCAAAAGTAACAGCCTCTTCTCATCCCTTTGTTTTTCCTTCTGTATCGATGAAATTGGTTTTGGAAGAGCCTCATCCTTGTTATCCTTTTGTCTCAACTGGAGTGCATCCTCGTTATCCTTTTGTCTTGACTGGAGTGCCTTGTGGAGAGCCTAATGGACAACCACCAAAATTAATTTCTTCCACTGCTTCTAAATCAGAAGATCAATTTAAGCAACTAAGGATAAAAACTTATTGAAAAAAGTGCAATACAGGAACAAACTTTTTTAGTTCTTGATAAGAAGTAGTTGAGGAAACATAAGGCAAAAGAGAAAAACAAGTTGGATAACTGAGATAATCGAAGAAGAACCCTAATTTATTTTTCCACGGAGAGAGTAGTTGACAGTTTCGTGGCAGAAACGAATAAGGTGCCGTCGAATTCTCATTCCGGTTAACGAATGGCCACTAACTTCTACAATTCCCAAATCAAAAAATTCCAGTAAGGGTATGCCGAAACACAAATCAAAATTCAATTTCTTTGTGTACACACTTTCGAACCCTAAATTTTCCCCGAAACAAAAGAAAGTGAAAGAAGTTGTACCTGGGTTGAGAGAGCGGAAGCTAACGGCGAGTTTGGTGGAGCAGTGATGGCGGAGATCTCTGGTGAGAAAGCCAATAAGGTGGACGAAATCATTGAACAAAAAAAAATCCCGATTTTTAAAATTAAAGTCAACAAAAATTTGAATAAAGAAAAGAGAACTCAAAAACCAAACCCGAAACAAATAAGTCGGAGAACTCACCAGAAAAACCCAAAGTTTCTGCAGGATTGGCGATTTCCTGAAAATCAAGCTTTTGTAGGTTTAAAATTTCTTCCCTAACATTCTCAACTTTAGCTATTTCAGCTACATAACGGAAATTTTTTTTTATTTTTAATTTAACTATAATTAACTAATCTGATTTAAGATTAATCAAAAAGCTTGGAAATTTCAGCTTTAAAATAACATCTCATGCTGCAAATCGAATAAAAAGCCTAGAATTTTATAACTACTCACTTTAAATACAGAGAGGCCTTCTCAGGCTGCAAAGAAACGTCAGAAACTCGAAAAACCGGATCCCCTAAAACCAAAAACAAAACCAAATTAACCACCATCACCCAGAATTCGAGGCCATAAACAAAATCCCCAAAATCACAACCAAAAAATTTAAACAAAAAACCCATTTGTAAATCCAAATTTACACTCCCAAGTGCAAGACTCAAAGCTCCAATTGTTCTTTCTCAACTTTAGCTATTTCAGCTACATCGCATTAAGAAAAAAAAAAACTATAATTAACTAATCTGACTTAAGATTAATCAAAAAGCTTGGAAATTTCAGCTTTAAAATCACATCTCAGGCTGCAAATCGAATCAAAAACGTAGAATTTCAAAACTACTCACCTAAAAAATAGAGGCATTTGCAAGCTGCAAAGAAACATCAGAAACCCGAAAAATGGGATCTCCTGAAACCAAAAACAAAACCAAATTAACTACCATCACCCAGAAGCCGAAGCCATAAACAAAATCCCCAAAATCACAACCAAAAAATTTAAAGGATTTCGTGAGACACAGTTAAATTCGTGAACTCTTCTTTCCATTTAACTGTGTCTCACCAAAATCCCCAAAATCACCAATTTGGTGTCATATTTAGGGGAAAATTCGGCCAAATACAAATGGTTGATTCTTGGTTCATGTTTGTCTTGTTAAAAGTGTTTTAAAGTAATTTTTGGAATCCCTAAGTACTCTAGAATGTTAACCCACTTTTGAGTAGTGAAAATTTGAGTTTTATTGAGTGAAAATATTCATGGAGCGCTTATGGGTTTCATGAATGTTCTTCAATGTTCTTGCTTTGTTCATACCAATAACAAAATGTTTGGTATTTTGATTCAAAGTTTTAGGTTATATACATAAAGTTTTGTTTTATGATGGATCGTGTGACTTTTCAATCAACAAGATAATTTTCAAAAAGTGATTGAAAGTTAAAAATGTGTTTGAATTTTTGTACATGATTAGTATTTCTCTTACACATTCATATCTATTTTTCAACACCATACCCATCACATTTTCAATATACTTGACTTTAAGACTTTGCTTTTCATCAAAAACCATCCAACCACTTACTACTCACCATAACCGGCCAACCCTATAAGATGGGTACTTTTGAGGCTTTTATGCAATTATATAAAGTTTTGATACTTTTGTGTATTTGGACTTTGACCTGAAAGTTTACGTTTTTACGTAAAGGTCCAAAATCATTAAAGGACAAATTGTTTTGCTCCTTTAATGAAGTTTTTGCATTTGTTGAAATTTTTGAGTTCTAGTTGTAATTACATGAAGTAGTGGACTTTTGTACTTTTACAAAGTGATCTCAAAAGTTTGTGTTTTGCAATATAGCCCAATAGTTCAGGTTATTGCTTTTTGGCCCAAATTAGTAGAGAACAAAATAATTTTGTATATTTAAATGAGAATTGGATTTTTATTTCATTTAACTCCATCTAAATCAATTCTATGGATACAAAAACCAAATGACAATATTGCATTCAAGTTTAATTAGTTAAAACGTTAATTAATTAAAGAAAGGGTGATCATGAACCTAAGCCTACAATAACTGAGTTATGTTAAAGACCGTCTCTCAAATTTGTTTGAACTATGAGAATGTGTAAATTAGATTTTGGTTGTAATTTGATATGATCAAATGTTGTAAAAGAGCATAAGCTCTTCTTTTCTTTAAAGTAATTTGTTTTGATCAAATGTTGTAAAAGAGTATAAGCTTTTCTTTACTTTGAAGTACTCATTTCTTGTTTATTTGATATGCATGAAATTGGAGTCATAGGGTCCAACACTCAATAGGAAAACATACCTTAATGTGATTAAACGCGTAACTAAAATCAATCACCATCCCTAGACCGAGATCCAACACTAGGCTCGTGTTGGATCGAACTAAAGGTTCGTCCTAAGGCTCTAAAGCAACTATATAGTCCATCAATGAATGTAAAGCTTATGTTAGTAATACCATATACTCTTGCTTTAAAAACAGTTTTACAAGCATAGTGGGAGTATCATATACTACTAAATCAATCACATGGACCAATAGTTGTAATATGACCAAATTGTTTTTAATGAGATTAAAATGCATGATAATATGTGATGAGACCTAAAAACCCTCAACCAAACCATTGTTAAATTGATAAGCATGAAAGTGCTTTGAACACTCTTTCGTGGTTTCCACCGTGGTAAGCTCCAATCGTTTGTGACTCATACACCGACTTCACCCTATCATTGGGGAGTACAAAGTATATGCTTATACTTATGAGGAGTTCTATACGCATACATGATGTTGTGAAGGTAGGCAATGAAAATGATCAACATCATATCATTATGAGGTTGTTCTTAAACCTCTACCTGAATTTGCATGGTGGGAATAACTTAACTAAATGCAATGGAGCCAACATCATATCATTGTGAGATGGGCTTGGTAATAATAAGTCTCTCATACCCTACTAAGAGTTTTATTCAAGACTCGAATTCCGATGAGGGATATGAAATTTGCCAAAAATAGTGAATGATGTTATTTGATTTAAAGACCCCGGATCAAATGGCTTAAAATCAATCAATTTATATTTGTTATGTATTTAATTACCGATATATTTGCAAACGCTATCCAAAACTTGACAAAGAAAAGCTAAAGGCTTTAGTTTCCGGACTTGGTACCAAAATCCCATAGATTGTCTTGAATGGATTGTATATATACCTAAGTAGTCTCATCCTCACAATTTTCCTATTGATAATGTATTATTGGAAGAACATGTTAAATAAGTCTATCATAAAGAAGACAACACTTTTAGTGTCATAATTCTTCCATTACAAATCATTGTATGAAGAAATAAGAGTTGCTTTAAACAACCCTTAGTTAACGCAAACACTAGTGCTTGTTTCTTTGTTAAATGAACAAGGAACTTAAGAAGTAAGCACAAGAACATGGACATTTTATGTACCATGATTCTTCACTTACAAATTGTTGTATGAAGAAATGAGAGTTACCTTGAACAACTCTTGAAAGTTTGTAATTATGTTTAGAACATAATGAATGGTTGATTGACAAAAATAGTCGATCAACATAGACTTATGATGATTTTGAATCATTAAGTGTTGAAGTGTCAAACCACTTCAGAAGACGGAAACTAGGCAAAGACTTCACCTTTGTGTTCCTATCCAAATGGTTCAATAAGTTTATTGTAAATTATATAGTGAACAATAACCGCACTCTCCAAATCGTTTGATGTGTATAACACAATTGAAATAAGTTTTAAGAGAGATAGTGAGAGGTTAAGGAATCATGACTATTGTAGTCAATGGAAAAGTCAAATGAAGAAGGCAAAATAACTCCAAGGGAACAAACTTTCTTTATGAAGTGATGGACATTGGAAGGGGTATAGGGGTATTTGCAAGAAATATCTTGCAAGTGTCAAGAACACACATTTCGAATGTGTTGTAAATTGTTCTTAAATAGTTTAAAATAGTTGGTTCTTCTACTTGAATGCATGATTCGGTATTAGTAACTATGTTTTATAATCGTTGTAAAAATGTGGCTAATAAGAATTAGAAGATTAATAAGGGAAGAAAAGGTACTTCATATTTGGAACGTGAATAAAATATAGATATCTGCGAAAGCAGATAGTACTTACTTCCTCATATGAACTACCAAAGAAATTGGAAAAACAAAGATTATATTTACATTCCAATTTGAATAAGGAACTTAATTCTGTCACTACAAGAGATGGAAGAATGTTTTGTTTGACAAAATATTGTTCTTTATTAATGAATGATTGGATTATTACAATCTAATTGATTATCTCTATAGTAGAGATGATGTGGTAGTGTTAACTGTTTAGAATATAACAATGCTTAAAACCCAAAAAGTTGCAAGGTAGTAACTAATCCCACTGAGTTGTGACATCTCTAAAACATAAATTACAAGTCGGTCATAGATGGATGCTTTGGATTGTTATATCCGGATCCAATGCCTTCTTGTTAAAACTATATAGAGATGAAATGTTCGAATCTTTATTCTTTTGGAAAGAAGAAAGAATCATAAAGTTGTTGAGGTTAATTCACTTACATGTTAGTGGCACTTGTCCACAACATAATACTACTCATGTTGTATGACATTCACTGAAGATCGCTCTCGGTTGGACTATCGTTTATTTTGAATAAACACAAGTCCGAATACTCTGCAAAAGGTTTCAAAGAATTCAAGAATGTAAGTTGATGAGTAAGACGTCTAAAGTATATACCTCCTTAGATTTGATCTAAGGAAAAATAACACTTTAGAAGAGTTTCCTTGAAAGATATCAAGGAAAATAGCATCATAAGATAATAGATTTCTCCATTAGGAGAAGAACAAACTCAAATAAGATATAGTTCGTTGGATGTTATCAATTACCCATATATAAGATATATATACTTCTAAAACAATATGATTGTCAATTAGAAGATATTCTAAAATTTTCATGATTCCATAGGATGTAGTGGGAAAGAAAGACAAGTTTTAATCGTGTTAAGATTTAGGGTTGTGTGCTGATAAGTAATATTTGTTTGAGAACAATCTTGCGGGATATCCTTAAATTAACCTTTGGATATCACTTCTATAAACCAATTAACAAATGTTGTTTGTTGGGTAGTTCATTGTAATCCTACACTAGGATTTGCCTAAGATAGAGCAAATGAACGAGAGATAGAACTCAAAGAATGGGTTCTTTGAGAGACAAGATGATAATCAACAAATATAACAACCTAGTTCTTACGCTCCAAGGTAGTCGAGAAGGATCTATAAACCGTTTCAGTTGAATGGTTTGAACTTTATGACTATGTCATAGAGTTACACCTCTTAATTCGAAAGAAATAAGAATGAAAATCCTTATGACTACATTGAGTGTATACTCAAAGAAATGGTATAGTACCATTTGACCTGAAATAATGAAACCTTCATAGCTAAATGGTAGCTTAAGGTGACTACAATCAACGAGATTGGTTGACTGGAAGAAACCATCTTTGATGTAGTCTTGGTTTCTAGTAATTCGAAGATTGTTAACTACAACTAAACGGTGATTCAATGTTTGGACATAATAGGGGTTTTTGAAATCATTATCAAGATAGTCTTGATAATATATGTCTCTAAGACTAGGAATCACAAGACGTGTAAGTTGTAAAGATCCATCCATCATGAATCTTTGCAAGCTAGCGGGAGCTATAAGCGTCTTATTAGAGAAAGATCAAATCGTTTGATTTCTCATAAAGATGTAAATGAATCTTTTGTTTACTAGGTTTACAAAAGATTAGTGGGAGTTAATCATATTCCTAAATTTAAACATATATATGATATATTAATTTTGAAAATGAAGGGAATTCTTCTTCGTTAAAGTTATGACCTTAAACATTCTATAACGATAAAGTGTATATGGAAGACA